TGGTGATGGCTGTGCAAGAACTAATAAACTCGACATATAATGCTTTAATAAAATTGAAGGTTAAAAGGAAGAAACTTTTCAAAAATCAAAGTGAGGAAAGATAAAAAAAGGATTTGAGAAGACGACTAGTATTGAAGATAAGCAAAGACGATACAACATACAGATAAAAGGAGCCCCTGAAGAAGAAAACCAAAACAAAGAGATGAAACAAATGCAAACACTATAATTCAAGAAAATTTAGCAAAAGTTTTAAAAGCACAATGCTACATATTGAAATAGTGCATCTATGGGCTTGAGAACATTAAGCTAGAATGACTCACTTCAAGGCATATTTTAGTAAAAATATTGGATGTTAAAGAAAAAGAAAATATTCTTTGGATATCTAGGCAAAAACAAAAACAGGACCTTTGTATCATGAAGAAAATATAATTATATTGTTACACTGATATCAATGCTTCATGCCTGAAATATGAAATAACATCCTTAAACTATCAAGAAAGAACATGTAATCCAAGGATTTTGTAGTCAGCAGAACTGGCTATCAAGTATAAATGGTGTAGCAAGCAGTTATCAACAATAAACAAACTCAGAAAATATTGTTTTCAGGAGATCTTTCTATGAAATTTAGAAAACAAAGTTTAGACAACCAGAATAACTAGAGAGATTGTAGTATGTGATGACTATATGATCTGAAAGTAAAAATAGAGTAAACCAATAAAAATGCAAAAAAAACTGATTGTATATTTCTAAGTATATTTTTGAACGCTCTATTTTTTCCATTAATCTATGACATCTGTTTTAAAACAAATATTGTATTTTCTTGATTACTTTTGCTATATGATAAGTCTTTGTGTGTGTGTGTGTGTGTGTGTGTGTGTGTGTGTGTAAACAGGATCGCTATGTTACCTAGGCTGGACTCGAATTCCTGGGCTCAAGCAGTCATCTCACCTTAGCCTCCCAAATTGCTGGGATTATAGGTGTGAGCTACCATACCTGCCCAAGAAATTTTTATATTTTAAGTTGCTATTATTTTGACTATTCTTCCACACACAACTGAACCAAATCTTGCCCATCATGACACACCAACCACCTAGTCTTTTTAGAGAGACTGACTGGCACCATATTGCAGCACCATGGCTGGTGGAACAAGATGTGTTCAGCTGACTCCAATACAATCTCCCATAGGCTGTGTGAAGCCAGATCCTCCCTCTCAGGACTTAGAGGCCACAGAAACTTCAGTTAGGTGGTGTTGGAGCTTGAAATACAAAGTCACATAGTCATGAGGTGCCAGGGCTACCATCTTTTGGGCAGCTTTTTTTTTTTTGAGTCAGAGTCTCACTCCGTCGCCCAGGCTGGAGTACATTGGCACTCTCATGGCCACCGCAACCTCAACCCGCTGGACTCAGGTGATCCTTCTGCCTCAGTCTTCCAAGTAGCCAGAACTACAGGCATGTGCTACCATGCCCGGCTAATATGATAAGTCTTAATGTGAGGTATTGTAAATATTCCAATTTTGTTTTTCATCTAAGTTGTTTTGGCTATTCTAGATCCTGTGCATTTCTAAATAAATTTTAGATTCTGCTTGTTAATTTGTGCAAAAAAGCCTGCTAGGATTTTGACTGGAACTGGGTAGAATCTATAGATCAATAAAGGGAGCATTGACATCTTAATAACAGTGAGTCTTCCAACCCATAGTTTAACTCTTCATTTATTTAGATCTTTAATTTTCCTTATCATTGTATTGTGGTCTTCAGCATATAAATATCACACATACTTAATGAGATTTATTCCTAAGTATTTTGTGGTGTTCATGCTATTGCAAATGGTACTTTTTAAAAAAATTTCAATTTCAATTGTTTATTGCTCTTATATGGAAATATAACCAACTTTTGTGTATTGACCTTAATAGGCTCATTTATTAGTTCTATTATTTTTTTGTAGATTATTTGTGATTTTCTGTAGATAATCAGAAGTTCATCTGTGAATAAATATTGCTTTATTTCTTCCTTTCCAATATATATGCTTTTTATTTTTCTTTCTTGGCTATTGCATTGGCTAGGACTTCTAGTAAAATGTTGAATAGAAGTGGTAAGAGGGCATTTTTGTGGTGGAAAGCACTCAGTCTTTGCCACTAATTATGATGTTATAGTTTTTTTGAAGATGTCTTTTATTGGGTTTCAGAAGTTCCTTATATTCTCAGTTTGTTAAGATATTTTTATTGTGAATGGATGTTGAATTTTGTCAGATTATTTTTCTTCATCTATTGAAATTATCATATAGTTTAGTCAAAAGACTAAAAAGGTGAATTTCATTGGTTGATTTTTTTTCAAATGTCAAAACAAACTTGAATTCTTAGAATAAACCCCAGTTGGGTATATATAATATATATATATAATATATTACCTTTATTGTAATATATATATAATATATTACCTTTATTGTATATTTTTGAATTGGATTTGCTGATGTTTTGTTAAAGATTTTTGCATTTATATTCACAAGGATATTGGCCTAATCTTCTTCTGGTTTTGGCAAAATTGGCCCCATAAAATGTGTTGGGAAGCATTCCCTCCTCTTATGTTCTGGAAGAGGTTTTGATGAGTTTGTGTTCATTCTTTCTTTCATTAATCTTTGGTAGACTTCACTAGTGAAGTCATCTAGTCCTGAAGTTCCTTTGTGGAAAAGTTTTTAAACTACAAATATGATTTATTTCATAGATATTGGTCTGTTAAGCTAACTTATTTCTTCTTAAAAGAGCTTTGCTATTTTGTCCAATTAATTGACATTAAGTTGTTAATAATGTTCTGTTTTCATTAGTATCTGTGCGGTTTGTTGTGATTTCTCCCTTTACAGTACTGACATTGATAATTTGTATCTTTTTTGCTTTATCAGTTTGATTAGAGAGTTATCAATTATATTAATATTTTTAAAGAACCAGCTTTTGGTTTTGATTTTTCTCTATTTTTTGTTTTTAATTTCATTGATTTCTCCTCTAATATTCATTAACTTTTAACTTTCTGTTGGCTTTAGTTTTAATTTTCTCTTCCTAACTAGTTACTTTGATTCACTTAGTCTCTTATGCCTTTGCTTCTCCACACTGCATCTGGCCTCACAGAGGTCACCAGTGACCTCCTAATTAGCAGTGGCATCATCCCAGTTGTCATCTAGTCAGATGCCACTTCAGCCTTTAGCCCTTTTTCTATGTACATTCATTTTCAGCCACTCTAATTTCATAAGGTATTTGAGACTTTTCCACTTAATTTTCTATCCACTTTCTTTGAGTAAGCAGAATTGCCTTTGATTGGCAATTGGCTACTCTGAAAAGTTCTAACATTCCCTTTTTTGTCCATTATTCTCTTACTCTCTTCAACTCCATAAAACTCCCTCTGGAGTTTTATAAAGCACCTTCATGTATACATCACCAGCTTTAGTGGTTATCAACTCAGGCTCAACCCTGTTTCACCTGTACCCTGACCCACTTCTTTCCTCCTATGTTATATTGTAGCAAGACCCAAATACATTATTTAATCCATCCATTTATATTTGTAATGCCTATATAGTCTAATTGTGTGGAAGTGCCATTATTTATATATTTAGGCAATCCCCTGTTTTTGGATTTTTATGACTTATTATCATTCAAATTATAACAATACAACTGCTGCCACTCTATTATTTTTTTTTTTGAGTTGTAGCCTCACTCCATCGCCCAGGCTGGAGTGCAGTGGCACATGCATGGCCACCCCAGTGTTGACCAGCTGGACTCACGCGAGCCTTCTGCCTCAACCTTCCAAGTAGCCAGAACTACAGGCGTGCGCTATCACTCTGGGCGACAGAGTGAGACTCCAACTCAAAAAAAAAAAAAAAAATGAACAAACTCGATTTAAGAGATCAACGGTTGCCAAATTCTTGTACATAAAATGGGGATAATATAATTTATTCTAATGAAGCTAATATGTCTTATAGGATATTGTAGAGATAAAAACAAGAAAACATACAAAATTAATGTAAAAAAAGCTTTTGGTATCTCATTAATAAAAAATAGAATGATAGGCTGGGCTCAGTGGCTCAGCCTGTAATCCCAGCACTTTGGGAGGCTGAGGAGAGTAGATTGCCTGAGCCCGTGGGTTCAAGACCAGTCTGGGCAACTTGGCGAGACCATGTCTCCACAACAAATAAAAAATTAGCTGGGTATGGTGGCACAACCCTGTAGTCCCAGCTGCCTGGAAGGCTGAGGCGGAAGGATCACCTGATTGAGGTGATCCAGCCTGGGTGACAGAGAGAGACTCAGACTCCAAGAACATTTTCTTTTTTTTTTTTTACAGACAAGGAATGGAGACTCAGAAGTTAAATAACATACCCATCATTACATAGGTATTAAATATTGGAACTGTTTTCCAGTTTAGATCTTCGTATCTCCAAGTCCAGTGCTCTTTTCAATTCTCTATACTAATATTTCAAGGATTACCTCCTTTTTATTAAAAAAGCAAAAGTGACATTTGAACCTGTGCTTTTAGTCAACTCATTGTAGTCAAAGATATATACATGTAATTTTCACATCCAGCAACAAATTTAGCCTGTTTATTTGTAACATGTATGTCAAGTCCTATGAAATGCTGTGTGTGTTTAATGCTTTTTATAACCAATATTTTTTTGGTAAGGTTACTGCTTGCTACTAAGCTTTTAGTATGTGCAAGGTATGGTGTCATCCAGGATATAAAGACTGGGTATCACACGAATTCTGCCTTCCAGCAACTTACAGTGTAATTAGGAAGACAGTACAAAGTAGGAAGTCAGTGCTGCAGGAGCAGAAGAAAAAGTATGGCAGTGGTAAAAATGACAGTAGCCTTCATATGTGCATGGTGTTTCACAGATGACAGAAAGCTTTACCATTTCATCAATAACTTATAATATATTGAATATTTAGGAAGACCTATATTAGATTGGTAAAAGTGAAGCAAACAGATTTCTGACTTTCCTGTTATCACTAGAAACCAAACACTTCAGAAGAAGAAATCAGGCAAGGTATTTGCATAGTCCTGTTCAAAAACTATTCGTTTTTGTTGTTGTTCACTAGCAAAATTTGGTGGATTTTTCTGTTTCTCCTGGCAACCCCAACAATATGCAAAATATACACTGAGGCTCCAGAGAGCAAAAATTTCCCTGAAAATAGAATGTAGTTACATTGCAGACGTGACAATTGTCAGTATATTGCTAGTAGTGGAAGAATGTGGTATTGGCATGTGTCTGCTATTTGGCTTTTTGGTTTAAGGAATATTTTAGAGGCATCCAAAAGACATAATGCTTGTCCAGCTGCCCCTAGATAGTGCCATAGTCTAAATGGTAACTCAATAAAGTGCTTATAAGCCACAATACTTGTTCATTAAACATATGGAATATTTTCACAAAAATTAAAGATGATATAAGGTCCTGAGAATGCACCCGGGGAATATAATTTACAAACCTAAATATTTGAAACCTCTTCCAGAAACTAGATCCCTGCAATAAACTGCCTTAATGAACATTGCCACATAGACAGGCAGCTTAATTGCCATGTGGAGACAACAAATATTCTATACCTTTATTATTCAGTAGAAATATAATGTGAGCCACATATGTAATTTTAAATATTCTAATAGGCTGGGTATGGTGGCTCATGCCTATTATCCCAGCACTTTGGGAGGCCAAGATGAGAGGATTGCTTGAGCCCAGAAGTTCGAGACCACCCTAGGCAACATAGGCAGACCTCATCTCTACAAAAAAATAATTAGCTGAGTGTGATGGTACCTGCCTGTAGCCCCAGGTTCTTGGGAGCCTGAGGTGGTCTAGGCTGCAGTTAGCTTTGAGTGTGCCACTGCACTCCAGCCTGGGTGACAGTGTGAGACCTCGACTCTAAATAAAAAAAGTTGACAAGCCTTAAATATATATATATATTCTAATAGACACATTAATAAAATGAAAAAGAAACAGGCAAAATTAATTTTAATAGTATATTTTATTAAATGCAAAATACCATTTCAACATGGAGTCGGTCTAAAAAAAATTACTGAGATATTTTACATTTTGTATAAGTTTTCTAATATATAGTATTATTGAATGAAGTGTGTATTTTACACTTAAGCCACATCCTGCTTTGGACTAGCCACATTCCTAGTGCTCTTGGACAGCACAGTTCTATTATTCCTTAGCCCTCTGTCATTTTCTAAATCCTCTGGAGGCAAGAAAACCAGCGTGTCACTGAAATGATGTCCAAATGCTCTGAGCTGGTCCACACCATACATCATTACTTCCATGTTATGAGGAGTCAGTCCATCAAAAGTAACAGCCATATCTGAACAGCAGCCTTCTACTACTTGCCATGGGTGATTAGACATTGTTTCTTGGATAAGATGCACAGTTTAGTGTTAAACACATCTCTTCCCTCAGAATCCTCTGCGTTCTCTGCAAGAACTCCGGTGTGTTTCAGACAGATGGCCTCCACATCACACTTTGACCTCCAGTTCTCGGAGTTACCGAGAAGTCTGTGAAGTCTCTTCATCGACTCTATACTTAAGACAATTACTTATTGAGAGAGAGAGAGAGAGAGAGAGAGAGAGAATATGAATGAGAATGAGAATTCCTCCTTCCACGGTCACGTATTCGAGGTCTCCAGGTGTGACGGTGTGGCCCAGATAGGAAGTTGGTGATGCGTTCCTTGTCAACAAAAGGTGCTTTAAATGTTCAGTGCCAGCCAATGCAGTGGGACGTGCAAGAGAGACCCAGTTGTAGTTGTCGGAATATTTTTCAAAACTTGTTTGTAAGACAGCCTCATCTGTACGCACTTGTCACTTCTTTCTATATTGAACAGATGATCATTGTTAGGACCGAAGAGCTCTGCTTTGTCACAGTGTTTGGCCCAAGTCTCTTTTGGCACAGACCAGGAACACTCATCTTCCGGTTCTACAAAAAACACGGATACTTTTGCTGAGCTCCACGAGTGTCGGTTTTGAGACGTTTAGGAAATCTTTTCGGCCGGGCGTGGTGGCTCACTCCTGTAATCCCCAGCACTTTGGGAGGCCGAGGCGAGAGAATTGCCTGAGCCCAGGGGTTGGAGACCCGCCTGGGCAACTTGGCGAGACCTCATCTCTACAATAAACCAAAAATTAGCAACGCGCGCCTGTAGTTCGGGCTACTTGGAAGGCGGAGGCGGAAGGATCGCCTGAGGCCTGCAGGTCGAGGCTGGGATGGCCGGGAGTGTTGTCACTGCCTTCCAGCCTGGGCAACGGAGTGAGACTCCAACTCAAAAAAAAAAAAAAAATTCTTTTCTGGGAGGACGAAGGTGGTGGTGTTCTAGGTCTTGAGTGGGACGTCCGTGTGGGATGTGACCCTGGCGGAACACAGTTCCCCAAACCCCGGAAATGCTGCCGAGCAACACACCCTTAAAGAATGACGTCCCACTAGCGGTGACCATTTTTCCGGAGTTGCGGGTCCAGCGCAGCCGCGGATGCCTCCCGGCGGCCCCAGCGATCGGAGCCGGCGGCCACACTTCCGGCCGGGCCGCTCTAGCTGGGGGAGGCTCTTCTCGGTGGTGCTGGGAGGGGGCGGGGCCGGGGGGTGGGACTCCGGTTGTGGTGAGTTTCAGGTGCGCCAGAAGTGCCAGCGGCTGAACCACCCACCAGCAATGACGTTGAAGATGGACGTAGATTGAGTCACAGACACCTCTCAAGTTGGCCAGGCTTCCACACTGAGAAGAAAAAAAAGAGTTTGAAATTGAGTTTTGTCTCTTGGTTTTTGTGTTCAACACCTGGTACATGTTCCTTATGTTAATTAGCACTGGGTCCTTCTTAAGGCTTTTAGCATTCTTAGAATTTTAGCATTGGTGTGTGTGTGTCTGTGTTTAATCACAGAATCTCTTACATACTCTCTCTTCATCAATCTGTAAGAATATAAGACTACCCAGAACCTTGAGACAACCTATGGAGTTTACAAGAATACACCACTTTCCTGATATCGTGACTTTATCAAGACATCAAATATGACACTTGAAGTCTTACTTTCCTCTTAGATTTATTTTATTGCTCATAATATGTGTTGACCAAGATTCTAGCAAACCAGATCCAACAACACATCTCAAAAATCATCCACCATGACCAAGTAGGCTTTAACCCCAGGATGCAGGGCTAGTTCAACATCTACAAGACCATAAAGTAATTAAATACATCGACAGATGTAAAAACAAAAACCACATGATTATATCATTAGACGCAGAAAAAGCTTTCGATAAAACCTAGCACCCCTTCTTGATAAAAACCCTCCAGCATCTAGGCATAGATGGAACATACCTCAGAATAGTAGATCGACGAGAAGAGCCATCTACGAGATACCCACAACCAACAACATACTGCTAAACAGACAGAAGTTGGAAACATTTCCCCTGAAAACCAAAACAAGGATGCCCATTCTCACCCCTCCTGTTCAACAGAGTATTAGAAGTCCTAGCTAGAGCAATCAGACAAGAGAAGGAAATCAGGGTTATCCAAATAGGAAAAGTGGAAGTGAAGTTATTCCTTTTAGCAGATGACATGATTGTATACCTCGAAAATCCAAGAGAATCTGTCCAAAACCTCTTTGTACTGTTAAAGGACTGTGGCAGAGTCTCAGGGTATAAAATAAATGTGCATAAGGCAACTGCATTCCTATATGCCAACAGTAAACACACAGAAGCCCAAATAAGAAGCACAATCCCATTCACAAAAACAACAGAATGAAATACTCGGCATCTTCCTAACCAGTCATAAAGGTGAAAGACCTTTACAACAAAAACTACAAAACACTGCTGAAAGAAATCAAAGATGACACAAACAAATGGAAAAATATTCCATGCTCATGGATTGGAAGAATCAACATTATTAAGATGTCCATCCTACCCAAGGCAGTCTACAGATTTAACACAATACCCATTAAATTGCCAGCAGCATTCTTCTCAGACCTGGTAATGACAATATAGGAATTCATGTGGAAATATAAATTGCCAAGAATAGCCCAAACAATCCTCAGAAAAAAAACAAAAAATTAAGCCGGCAGTATCGCACTCTCAGACTTTAAACTTTATTATGAAACTACAGTAATCAAAACAGCCTGGTATTGGTACAAGAACAGGCATATAGACCAAAGGAACAGGATTGAGATTCCAGAAGCTAAACCTCAATTTCTCAACCAACTCATCTTTGACAAAGCCTTCATTAATAACCACTGGGAAGAGGAGAACCTATTCAGTAAATGGTGCTGGGAAAACTGGCTTACCACATGCAGAAGATTAAAATAAGACCCTGGTCTATCACCAAACAAAAAAATCAACTCTAAATGAATCAAACCTAAACATAAAACCTCAAACTATAAGAACTTTAGCGAATGCAGGAGACACCCTTATGGAAATTGGAACTGGCAACCAATTTCTGATCAAAACCGCAAGTGCCCATGCCATAAGAGATAAGATAGACAAGTGGGACCTCATCAAATTGACAAGCTTCTGCAAAGCCTAAGAAACCATCAAGAGAGCAGGGAGACAGCTCACAGACTTGGAAAAATTATTTGCCAACTGCATATCTGATAAAAGCCTAACATATAGGATCTACAAGGAACTCAAACACACCAAAAAGAAAAAAGCAAACAGCCCCGTAACAAACTGGGCACAAGATATGAATAGACACTTCTCAAAACAAGACATACGGGCAGCCAACAGATACATGAAAAATTGCTCAGCCTCACTATTCATGGAAGAAATACAAATTAAAACCACACCGAGATACCACCTAACTCCAGGCAGGATGGCCATCATCAATAACTCAAAAAACAACAGATGCTGGAGAGGATGTGGAGGGATCACTTCTACACTGTTGGTGGAAGTGTAAACTTCTACAATCTCTGTGGAAAACAGTATAGTGATTCCTAAAAGATCTAAAAATTGACCTTCCATATGACCCCACAATCCCTCTACTAGGAATATACTCAGAGGAACTCAAATCATTCTACAAAATAGATACCTGCACATTCGTGTTTATTGCAGCACTATTCAGATAGCAAAAACATGGAACCAACCATGCTGCCCATTGAAAGAGGACTAGATAAAGAAATGTGGTACATATACATGATGGAATATTATGCAGCCATAAAGAAGGACAAAATTATGAACTTTGCAGCAACTTGGATGAACTTAGAGTCTATGATATTGAGTGATCTATCATAGAAACAAAGAACTGAGTACCACGTGTTCTCACTCATAAGCGGATGGACCTTGAACACTTATCATAATACTATAAGAAGGGAATTGGCAGTAGTGGGAAACTGCTGAGGGTGGGTGGCAGGATTGGTAGTAGTGGAAAACTGCCAGGGGAGGGGTGGGCACACCTCATCAACAAGGGTAACTGCATAATGAGCATTTGTATACCTAACCCTGAATTGTATTCCACATCTTTAAAATTAAAAATTTTTTAAATGTTTGTGTTGACTAGTAATTTCCAATTTACAGTCCAGTGAACATTTTATAGATGAATAATCTTGTGGTATACATTATGTTGCACTAAAAGTATCGAAACTTTGGTATTTTGTTTAATCAACTTTTAAACATGCAAAGAACTTTTAATGTGCTGTTTGCAACTCATATTCAGTGAAGTATTTTAAATATTCTTAAATTCATGATATTGTGAGATATTTAAGTCTTTTTCAAAAAGGAAATGTGAATTTTAATATATATATATTTTTTTATTAATCAGTATTTTTTATTATGGTTTTGTGGGGTACAGTTAAGGGTTAGGTGTACAATTATGTTTCATTCAGGCACCCTGTTGATAAGAGGTGTTTTCCCATCCCCCGATAGATATTTGCTACTGTTAATCCCATCCCCCTCCCCCCCATAGTTTCCCAGTACCGTCAGTCATTTTCTTATAGTATTGCATTGGATGTTCAAGGTCCATTATATGAGTGAGAACATGTGATATTCGGATCTTTGTTTCTGTGAGAGGTCACTCAGTATTATAGACTCTAGTTCCATCCAGGTTGCAGCGAAATTCATGATTTTGTTCTTTTTTATGGCTGCGTAGTATTCCATCATGTATATGTACCACATTTTTTAAATCCAGTCCTCTTTTGATGGGCAGCATGGTTGTTTCCAGGTTCTAGCTATTGTGAACAACGCTGCGATAAATGTACGTTAATATTTTTTATATTTTTCTTCACCTTACAGATGCAACAGCTTGAGAGACAAGTTATTGATGCTGAGCGTCAAGCAGAAAAAGCTTTTCAGCAGGTAGAGTATAATTTTGGTCTAAAATTTGGGTTTTTCATGCAAAATTTCACTTTACTCATGTAAGGATTGTTTTGCCCATAACGGGAGGATAACCATCAATTCGCCTCAATGGCACAACATTTTGACTACTCATGAGCTTGCTCCATAGAATAAATCCAGAATCTAACTCTATTTTGCCTGTTGACAAATTTTCAAAAGAAAATAAAGGCTTCCATTTGGAAATTTCTATCTTCTGAGAAAATCAAATATGACTTTTATTTTAATACTAACTATAATCAAGTCTTATTTATAGATATTGTAACAGAAGTTTTATAGTAAAAAAGAGTTGAAATAATATGAATGCCATATTAGAGAGCAATGAATAAGTGAACTAGATGAGCTCCATGAAATATTAAACAACCATTATGGCAGTACCAAGGACATGTATTAATATGAAAAAATGCTTAGAGTTATATTAGAAAAAGTTAAGTTAAAAAACAAAGACTGACTATAATCCCAGCACTTTGGGAGACCAAGGTGAGAGGACTGCCTGAGCCTATGGTTTCTAGACCAACCTGGGCAACTTGGCAAGTCCTCATCTCTACAGTAAATCAAAAAATTAGCCGGTATGGTGGCATGCGCCTGTAGTTCCAGCTATTTGGAAGGCTGGGGCAGAATGATCTCCTGAACTCAGCAGGTCGAGGCTGCGGTGGCCATGATTGTGCCACTGCACTCCATCCTAGGCAACAGAGTTAAAAAAAACAAAAACAAAAACAAAACCCAAAGGCTGAGAGGAAGCACTCCAACAATTTAAATTTGTTTGAATTGTGGAATTTGGATTTATTTTTTTCCCTGTATTTTCATGTCTCTCATTTTTTTCGAACTACTGCTTTTATTTCTTTTTTTAAAATAATGTTTTGATAAGCCATGTAGCCTTTTCTGGGACTTGCCAGCAGTAAAATGAGTGGTTTGGAAGGGCCCACCCAGATTTAAAGTTTATCTTATGATCCTAAATCCATAGCTTCTCATTTCATGAAAATAACTCTGTCATATTCACTTGGATCAATGAGTCCTGGTGTTCACAGCACTACAGGATAAATACGGTCAACTATGATTCATTGCATATTTTCAAAAACCTAGAAAAGAGGATTTTGTGTGATCACAACATAAAGAAATGATAAATGTTTGAGGTGATGGATGTGCTAATTATACTGATTTGATCATTGTACAGTGTATACACAAATGGAAATATCACTCTATATCTCACAAATATGTGCAATTATTATGTGTCAACTAAAAATAACAGAAAAAGGGCAACCCCTTTGGGTCTGCTCCACTGTGGGAGCTTTTCTGTCCTTTCAATAAATCCTGCTTTCTCAAAAACAAACAAACAAATAAACAAACTCCCCCCCAAAAAAAAAAATTTCAGAAGGCTAAGTATTTCTTCTAAGAAGTATATATTAAATTTCTTATACTTTTCCTATGTTTGTTATGTTTCCTCCATTCAACCTGAGTAGTATCAAATCTTGTTATCATCTGAAATATTTAATTTTACACAGTGGATTGTGTGGCCTAACAAATTTCTAAGTAAGCCCAATCTAGCCTAATCCTTGATTTTCTTAATTATCCTTGAAAGAATATCTTACAACTTTCTTAAACAAAATTTCAACCCATACAAAATAGTAGAGAAAATAACATAATGAACTTTCATCAATCAACTTCAACAATTACTCAACTCATGCTTGCTATACCTCCACCCACCTCCATACTGGATTGTTTTGAAGCAAATTCCAGACATCGTATAATTTCAACCATGAGTATTTCAGCAACTAATCTAAAAGTAAAGACCAAAAAATTAGCACTGTACCATCATCACATCAAAAAATTACCAATAATTCTTCAATATATCAAAGATCTAATCACTATTCAAATCTTCCCAAATATCTCATAATTGCGTCTGTATTTTGTTTTTTAATTGAGATGAAATCAACATAATGTAAAATTAACTGTTTTAAAGTGAACAACCTCTAACTAGTTCCAAAATGTCTCTGTCACCTCAAAAGGAAACCCCATATTCATTAAGCATGTAGTCCCATTTTCCCTCCCCCAACTCTTGGCAACCCCCAATCTGCTTTGTGTCTTCATGGATTTACCTACTCTGGATATTTCATGTAAATGAATTCATGCAATATGTGATCTTTTGTGTCAAGCTTCTTTCATTTAGCAGAATGTGTTCAATGTTCATTCATGCTTGCAGCTTGCATCATAGTTTATTCCCTATGGCTGAGTAATGTTACACACACACACACACACACACACACACACACACACACACACACACCCCACAATTTTTTTGTTTATCCATTCATCTATTGATGGACAGTTGAGTTCTTCTTACCTTTTGGTTATTGTGACTAATGCTGCTATGAACATATGTGTACATTTATTTGTTTGAGTAACTTTTTAATTCTTTTATATATGCCTCTTCTTTGTTTTTTTTAAATTTTTATTATAAAGATGTGAGGTACATTTCAGGGTTAGGTATATAAACATTGATTATGCAGGTACCCTTGTTGATGAGGTATGCCCCTCCCTCCCCTAGCAGTTTCCCTCAACTGCCAATCCCCCACTGACCCCCCACAATTTCCCACTACTGCCAATCGCTTTCTTATCTTTTTTGATTTTTAAGAGTTGGTTTGCTCAAATCAGGATCGAAACTGAATTGACACTTTTCATTTCATTCTGTAACTATTTCAATCTATAGGGGCTCTTTGTATTTTTTCTTCCAATTTATTTATTGAAAAAATTGGGTTAATTTGTTCTCTGAATCTTTTTACATTCTGGATTTTGCTGATTACATACCTGTTTTGCTATTTAATATGCTCTTCTGCCTCTATATTTCCTGTAAAATATAGTTAGATCTTTTTTTATAGTTAACAATTTTTTAAAATTATAAAGATGTGGGGTACAATTCAGGGTTAGGTATACAAACATTGGTTGTGCAGGTACCTTATAGTTAGATCTTAAAACTTGATTTGTTTTCCTTTTTCTCTTGGTTTTTTTTTTTTAATTGTTTTTTAAATACTTATCCCCACTTGTACCTATACAATGGCAATCTTCAGCAGTAACCTCATAGGCTACTTAAATTCTATGAAAGACACTTAATGTCATTCTCTGCCACTGTGTAGCGAGTGTCTGTCTCCCTCTGTGATGATGTACTGATCCGTATACAAGTGATCTGTGCAGCCACACGCCTTGCACCGCATGTCGATTTGTTTACTTCTCTCACTTTCATGTCTTCTTTCTTGTCTTTTCCTTTATGACTCGGGCCTTTCCTGGTGGCATCTCCCTTCACCTCTACTCTGACTGTCTCTGTGTTTCTCTGTCTGTTCTTTGCTATCTTTCCCTTCCCTTCCTTTCTCTCCTTTGCCCATTATTATAGGAAAAAGAGAAAGAAATTGAGGATGGTTTTCTTTTGCTTTAGTTTACAATTCTTAATTTTTATGTAACAGTTTTGATTTTGAAAATTAAACTAAATTAAAAATTTTTATTTGTTATTTTCAGTTATTCTTTCCCCCTCTAATTCACTGGATCTTAAGAGAGCCAGTGGAGTCTTAAAGAGAGTATCCCTGTTCCCAATGCAGAGGTAGCAAACCGTAGCAGTTTGTTGCCGTTAGGACCCCACCACTCATCTTGGTAAGTTTAACAGAAAGACTTCTTTTTTTTTTTTAAGTTGGAGTCTCACTCTTGTTGCCCAGGCTGGACTGCAGTGGCATGCTCACAGCCCCCACAGCCTCAGCCTGCTGTGCTTAGGCAATCCTTCTGCTTCAGCCTTCCAAATAGCTGGAACTACAGGCACGCACCACCACACTCAGCTAATTTTTTTATTTATTGTAGAGACAAAGTCTCACCAAGTTGTCCAGGCTGGTCTTGAACCCCTGGGTTCAGGCAATCCTCTCACCTTGGCCTCTCAAAGTGTTGGGATTACAGTCTGAGCCACTGCGCCCAGCCGAAAGACTTCTTGTTTGATATTGTCCTTTGGGGATATTGGGTGTAATGTGCTACATCTTTAAGCAGAAAGGCCACAAATGATTAGTTTAAACATGATGCCTTAAGTCAAAGCTCTCCTCCCAAAAGGAGAGAAGTGCAAATTCAGTTTCTATGAGTTAGCAACATCTGTAGGTATTTCTTTTTGTCACAACACTTTACATTTGTTTAGTAACTATTTTGTTTCACTTCAGAAGGATTTTTTTTTTTCTGTGAATACTTCATAATGAATCTGAAAGTTGGCAGGAAATATAAAGAGAGAGCAGATGAATTCTCATGCACTGATGATGTCACCTTTTTTGGTCTTTGCAAGGCTGTTATTAACTTAGAATAACTGAAGGCTTTGCTATCTTTAACAATTTCCATGGGACTGTGACCCATCTGATGTTTATTTTGCTTAAATTCAGTTTGCCTTTTCTCAATGAACCATATCTTAAGATTTAAACAATTATATTTATATTAACCAAAATGGAATGTTTCACCACTAAAAGCTGTAGTCAGCTGAAACCAGCTTGACTTTACACTTCAGCTTTGTACATTTTTCTCTTTGTTTATTAATAAGTGCCATCACTTCTGAAACAATTAAGTTGTCTGCAGAAGAAAAAGAATCTCACATTTTCCCAGATAACTCTTGGTGATCTTCATACTTCATGTTGTAGTACATCTTTTTTTTTGAGTTGGAGTCTCACTCTGTTGCCCAGACTGGAGTGCAGTGGCTGCTCCCAGCCACCGCAGCCTCGACCTGCTGGGCTCCACCGATCCTTCGGCCTCAGCCTTCTGAGTAGGCGGAATTACAGGCATGCACTACCACACCCGGCTGATTTTTTTATTTATTGTAGACATGAGGTCTCACCAAGTTGCCCAGGCGGGTCTTGAACCTGCGGGCTCAGGCAATCCACTCACTTCAGCCTCCCAAAGGCACGGGATTACAGGCTGAGCCACCGAGCCCGGCTATATTGTAGAACGTCTTTACT